TCTGACAATTAATATTTGACATTAATCGTTATTAACTATTACACCTATAATCAAGAAATGTCAACATAAGTAACTATTAAGCACCATGCATGATAGACGATATGAGGTAGTCAGTGAAAATAGTCGATTTATTTGGTTCTGATTGGTTCTAACGATAACGTAAATTGCGATAAGTTAACAGGCGAGGGAAATAATCAGTAGTAATACTATAAGTACTTCAAAATAATCAGGTTATACATCGATAACCTGTTGCATAATTATAAAGAGTGTCAGTTTGACAGTTTAAATAATCCGACCGCGAAGCGGGAGGATTATTCTGTCAAACTGACACGATTTGTAATTATGCAGGAAGTTTGAGATGTATAACCGTATTTATTTTGAAGTACGTATTGTATTTGATACGATTATTTTTTGAGTAAATTAAGTAAATATCAACAATTTATTAATTTAAATACATATTGGTACAATGAAAATAATTATTGATAAACGTCAAAATTTGACGGTCCTGTTAGTTAGTGTATTGTTGTCGATGTGGTTACTACGGAAATGAAATTATTGTAAATATTTTTGATTGGTGGAGCTACTCTATTTATAATCAGGTATTATCGAAATTATACGAGGTAACTTAACTAAATTGAACGTTCTAATTGGTTAAAAGTTATACGAAAAAAATAATCAGAGTAATCACGCTTAGGATGAAATAGATTTCGGAAATCTTCCTTGTTGTCATAGTTAAAAATAACTTAAATTGATTGCTTAAAGTGTGTTGGTGTGAAATTTTCGTTATTTTTCTGGAAAACATTTAAGAAATCGATAGAAACATGTAACGAATGTCAAGTTACCAAGATTAAGATTAAAATAATTAAAACACCACTCTATTGGACATTTATATATGTTACATGTGGGTAATTTTATAAGATGATATGTGAATTAGGCCATAAGTCTTTGAAGCCGGAATTCTGGCTTACAAGAATGAAAAACTGTGAATTTGGAGTAATATTCAATTGCCATTATTGTCTGTGGTTATAAGACGAAAATAATTAGTGAACAATTAGGGTCTACATTTGCAACATGTTTGATGTAAAAAATATATCTAGATTTTGCGGATATTTAATCAAACTCTGTTTAAAAAAAAATAAGATTTTAGCATACTAATGAAAAAAATATAATATATTTGCTGGTTTATATTTTCCATCAGACTAAAAAAGATTCTTCAAATCACTCCGCATCTTGTAACATATTTTCAGATAAATATAGACTCTCCTTGTCACTTCTCTCTAATGACTCATTAGTCAAAGACCCTAACTAGATAAATTTAGGTCCAAATATTTGTAAAACCGTGTCACTTATATTTACTAGTGGTAATATATATTGACAGCATTTGTATATTTTAAAAGATAATAAAAGACATGTTTGCTAATAGCACCTGTTTGGAAAACACGGATATCGCATAAAATGTTATAAGTGATTTGTCACATCTCATTTAACTTTAATGTAAAATATTGTTACTGTTCTATGAACTTTTCTAGCTATAAATAAAATCGATGAAAATAGTTGCGAGACAGAATAATAATATTTTTTTTTATCATTTAACGAGCAATAGTATTATGTTTTTATACGTTTTTCTGAACGTTTCTTTTATAAACGATTTTTAAATAGCTAGAGCCATTAGATTAATTTAACTATTAAAAAAACTTCTCGCACCCGAATTATTCTTAAAACCTACAGTTTTTTTTGTCTAAAATGGGACATTTTTTCATTGACATTATATTTTTTGCTTTACATGAAGCCTCGTGCTATAGTAGTTTGTACAACAAGAGTGGATATGAGATAATTATGATGGCCATATTGCACGAAGACGAAGGCGGAGAGCTCAATCATCTGAGTGCGATACGGTATATTTTTTCTACGACCCACTAACGAAAATCTACAAATTTTAAAAATTAGGTTATTAAGATAAAATAACCAATTTAAAAATAATTTATGAAATAAAATAATCTTGAAAAAATATATTTTATTTGATTAGTCTCCAATCCTAGATTTGAACCCGGAGCCTATCGCATGACATCCAAATGCGCTAGTCTCAGCTAATAATTATAATAAAAAAAGGGAAAAAAAGGGAAAAGAAGGAAAAAAGAAAAAGAGGACTGGGCCTCAAAACCCCTTCATGGTCGATATGCAAATATCCTCAACCAGCCTTATATCGACACTAAGGCATCAAATGCTTGGTTGGGACAAGCTGACATATTTGCAGAGACGGAGGGATTTATGATAGCCATCCAAGACAAGTCATAGCTACCAAAAACTATCGTAAGTATATAATAAGAGCGGAAGTGGAGTATGACTTATGTAGAAAGTGTTACCAACATTCTGAGACCAGCCAGTATATAACAAACGCTTGCCCTATCCTGGTCCCGATAGAATATTTGTCGATACAATCAGGTAGCTAAGATTATTCATTAAAGCCTGGCGCAGAAGTATCGCCTCATCAGCGAAGAGAAATAGTATTACCAATACGAGCGGTGTCCTGTCTTAGAAAACAGTACACACAAGTTGTACTGTGATAGATCAGTACTAACAGTCCACAATAGGCCTGACATTATCATCGCCGATAGAAGTGAAAACAAAGTTGTACTGATCGACGTGGGAGACCCAAACAATCACAACATCCAAACCTACTACGCGGAGAAGGAAGCAAAAGACCAGACTTGGGCAGGAAATCCAATAAATGTGGCGCCAGGAGAGTGTGTCTGTAGTCACACATCATCAACCGGCGTAGTACCCAAGTCACTAACTAATAATTTTAAGATTTTAGGACTTGCCGACAAAATAGCACCAATCCAAAAAGCAGTAATACTATCTACTACCTCAATAGTGCGCTCATTTTTAACTGTATCTGTATGAACCAAATACAAGCATCTTGCCCCGGCCGATACTTGCATCAAGAACGTATCCTAAAGATAGTGATACCAAAACAAATAATAATAATAATAATAATAATAATACTCTCCCTAAATCACACTCTTACGAGTGAATTTTTTACCCCAAAAGCTGAGTTTGTCCGGAGAAGAGACGGCTATTATTATTATTATTATTATTATTATTATTTGTCGTAGCGCTCCGGGCGACTTAAAGATGATTGATGGTAAACCATTTGACTTACACGTGAGGAAAACCCCACCCACCATCATCGAAACGGTAACGCATGGCGATTTTTATAATCTGGATGTCATATCAACAGAAATAAAATTTCTGCTAATACGGCATCCATCAAATCCTACAGAGAACCATGCAAATAAATTCACATGGTCTTCTCGAACGATTTTTTGACTCAGCTACACCTCTTCAAAAAAATTTTCGTTCTCGATCACCAAAGTAGTATTTCGCACCCTAGATACAAAAATACCTATTAATTTTGTCAGAGAAAATTACTAAAATAAAAAATAACAGCTGCATAGAATATAGATATTAATTTGAGTTACCCATACCTATTGCACCAGAATAATATTTAATATTAAATAGAATAGGGAGATAGGATTTTAAGATTGACATACTTAATGTAAAAATGTCATTACAATCTTCATTTAGTAATTTAAACTTTGTTTAAAACAATGGTGGAATCGTCTATTAGTGACCCAACTCGCAGGGCCGGAGCCCACTTAGACGGTTGAATGGATAGGTAGAATACAATAAACCATTTGTTAATAAAAAGATCTCAGATCTGTAGGATAATTCCAAAAGGGTTCATTAGATGTGTATTTTATCTATACCGTAATTCTCTGGAAAATATTTTTTTTATTTTTACAAATCTGTTTATGTTAGAATATATTACCTTAAGTAATATAAGTAACCAAACTTCTGGAGCTTATTTTCAGACCTATTGCTAATACCCTCACTCGTTCCAGCATCATCTGACGTTTAGAACCAACCATTATGACTATATTTCGCAATACATTTTGGGTTCCACAGTACTTATCACCATTAAAACTCTAATACTGTTACAATTGATAAAATTTAGCTTTAATCCATACCAAAATTTTGAGAAAAGTTACGTCTCAATTTTATTCCAGCTATTTGTCAAAGCTAATTATTAACTGAACCCATTCATTGTTTATCTAGAAACTGTATTATTTTAAAAACCACTCTACATGTACATGTACATGCGGATGGTTAATTATCAAAATAATCCGTAGCTTCTTGCAAAAGCTAACATCAGTTCATTGGGGTATCTTAAATATCCTGGGATATTAGAACGCAGAATGTGGATACCTCATCACATTCGCTGCATAATCGAAAACTATCAGTGGCCCTCAGTCCGGATGCTTGTTTAAAGGGCTATGAGTCTATTAGAAGTCCTGATATAATCCATATGTTTAACTTGATTAGCGACTTAATAAAGAGCTTGGACAAACGCATCCCCATCCCATTGGACTATTCTTCTTTTACTCAACCATGTATTAATCACGTGGCTTTGCCAAAGTGAAGGTTCGGTGAAAGGAATGCCATAAGCCTCTTCTAAGTTCTTTTCCCGCAATGTTGTTATGTCCAGTCTGACTAACTTTACAAGATTTCTCGCTGTTTTAAGTGAGACAGAACGCTAACGGGTGTAAACCACCTAGACATAGAAGCAAATCATGATTAGCTGGATGGAGTATCTTCTCAAACGGTTCTCACACTTATGCCTGTTTCCTGCTTTCCCAAGTTGAAACAAGGTTTTAGACTAATCTGTAAACCAGGCGTCTTAGAAATGAGAGCATCAGGATTCATACCTATCGAGAAACTAACGAGCATCTTAAATGTTAAAACTTTATTTGAAAAAGCGATATTAATAGGTTGCTTCTAAAAAAACAATTTTAATACTCGTTTGTATGCAGAGCATTTATATTATGAAACAAAACTAATTTGAACATCCGGTAATTATAAAACATCATCATGGCATTCATTGAATAAACAATATGTTAATATTTCAATTTATTTTATAGCATTTCTTTTTTTTTTAGTTACATGAAGAGGGAAAACTTTCAGTAGAGCCCCTTTTAAATCAAAATATGTCGCTTATAGCAAAACGAATAAATAGAAGGAGACAACACATGAAGAAAATGTGTAAACTTTTAGGATTAGATCGACCAGGAAACGATTCGCTACACAGGCCTAATGCCTGGGAATTTTTAGTAGACAATAAACACCATCTTATTTGGTGTAATATATTTAAGGCTGCAAGCACATCTTGGATGTACAATTTTAATATTCTGGCTGGGTAAGTAGTGAAATGAATCTAACTGCAAAAAAAGTATTAGATGAAACTGAAATGTAACAGCCCAAGTCTGTTAACACTTTTTTAGCGGATACGCATCCAACATGTCACATGAGACAACGCTGCTATACTAATTTAGTTTTCATTTAAGCAGTTTAGTCTTAGATAAAAGAGACCAGAGATATAACATACACCGGTGTTTAATCTGCGCAAATGTTGCCAATTGCTAAAGGTTAACGGAGTGGGGGAACTGGGCAGAGAACCGGACTCTGTGACAGGGACCGGACTTTGTTTATTAGCATCATAATGAACTATCAGATTTATTTAAAATAAATGTTTAATGGAATTTTGTATTATGAAATAAAATTAACGTGATTTTTTATTATCAAACAGATGCACGACATTTTATGTAAAGAGAATGCCTTTTATAGAATATTTCGTTAGCGTTTATTTACTACGGACTTTTCAGCAAGAGACTACAGTAAAATGTTGAAATAGAATATTGTTAATAGAACAAGAAATGGTACTCATTGTCTACGAGTATTATAAAAAAGCATGCGCGCAGGCGAATACTGCAAATCAAACCTTTTGAGTTGAACATTATATTTTTTCTACGGCTATTACATAATATTAAAAATTAGTCAAAATGAGAAAATGCTGTTTTGTATTGTAACGTCAGCTTCTTTCTTTAGGAATATTAATATTAATTAATATAGAGGATGAGTCACATAAAACTCTAGAAATGCATATGTCTGAAACCAGATAACATTTTAAAATTTAAACCTATTAAAACTCATTTGGTCGCTAGGGGTGGGTGATTATCTAAATAAATGATTGGTCATTGAAAATAATTGATTATTTTCGATTAATCCATTGTTTTCAATCTATTTGTTTTTCGTATTTTCTTTAAAATAGACTAATTGATTATGTTTGAAAAATCAAAAATAATCGATTAATTAAAAAGTCGATTAACTGACAAATCGATTTTCAAAAAAAAACGAATTATCGATTATTTTAAATAATCGATTATTTTCGATCAATCGATTATTATCAATAATTTATTTTTATTGTATTTCATTTAAAATCTATAATTCGATTATCATTTAAATACCGCCGAAAATAATTGATTAATTAAGAAGCCGATCTACGATAAATCTATTTTCCAAAAAAATAACCGAATTATCTATTATTTTCTAATAATCCTTTTCATATTTTCTTTAAAATTGATTATTCTATTATCTTTAAAAAATCGAAAATAATCGATAAAAATCGATAAATCGAAAATAATTATTAATTATTAAAAAGCTGAACCAAAATATTGGTTATATAAAATAACCGATTACATTCGATCAATCGATTATTTTCATATAATACCTTTGAAAATAATTCGAAAATAACCGATTAATTAAAAAAACCAATTAAACGATAAATCGATTTTTCCAAAAAAAAATCGATTATTTTCAATCAACCGAATATTTTGAATAAATCTACTTTCTTTTCCTTTCCTTTAAAATCGATTATTACATTATCTTGCAATTTTAAGTTTTTCTTCCTGTATTTCATCTAATTTTCTTATAAAAATACCTTATAAAAATAAAATTTAGCTATCAGCTATGCTTCTTTACTTCTTATTTATCTACCAAAAAGGGCTGAAAACCACCTTTAGTAAATATTCTTATACATCTACTTTTTAAAAACAAAATTTCATTAGCAACAATGCCTATTTACTTCTTATTTAAATTAAATATTTAAAATTTTACCCTTTTGTAAATTTTTGTAAGTAATACGAAATCTGTTTTCTGAAATATGTATTTGATGCTTAATATTTATTGAAACCTCTTAATGCGGATCTGAAGTATTCAGCCCAAAGGATCATAGCGCTTTATGTCAAAACGTTAATAAACATTTACCGCTAAAAAACGAATATGTTTTTTATCTTTCATAACATTGGTTCTTGTATTATAAGTATATACAATTTCTCAAGATACATCGTGGCATTTTGAGCTTAAAATTGAATAACTTTACACTTTAAATTTCTAAAACACCAACAAATAAATCAAAAAACAGCTGTCAATGGTGATTGAACTCAAGCGGAGGTGAGCGTTGAATGGGAAAATCGGAGCAATTCGGGTGGCGTCGTGCAAACAATGATTTTCAATTGGCGGGTTACTTGGGGTTAAAACAGACAACATGCGCAATGTGCAATGTTACATCTTCGGTTTCTTTTATCTAAGAGTTTAGTAAATCTAGTTAACAACAAAATGTTTAATTTTTCAGATATAGCCCGAGATTTTTAAAAAAGAGTAAGTTAGTGCCTATGACACTGGCCAGGCAGCGGTATCCTAGGCCATCCCTTCGAGATCTTCAAAAGGCTTTCGATACATCCATTTCTTTTCTAATAGCGCGTCACCCGTTAGAGAGACTGCTCTCTGCTTACAGAGACAAGCTTCAATTCGCACTACCACACACCCATCATAAGAAGCTTGGCAATGAGATTATTCTGAAATACAGATACAAGAAGGTAAGACAATGATTTCATGTTTTAAATTTGAATTTATTGAATTTAAGCTTAAACAAAGATGAACACTCTTTTCTCGTCTAGATTTAGAACCGTTATTCAATTGTTGGCTATTTGATATTCTGCTTCTTTACTTTTGATATTAAGGGTCTTAGTTTTGATCCAATATAATGGATAAAACTGGTATTTTCGTCTTAATTAACGAATATGTGTATTAATGAATATTTATTTACATGAGTACGTATTCGGTTTAGCAGAATAAAAAGTAGCTTGATATACGAGTAATCTTTATTTTATTATACAGTGTAGTGGTAAACCTTGTGAAAAAGTATGAAAAATAATAATGGAAAAGTATAAAAAATAAATAATGAAAGATTAAAAATATAAAAAATTAAAATCAGCAAAAATAGTTTATAAATGCCTTATACAAGAATATCACCCAGCCGTGTTAGATGTAAGTAAAATAGATTGGGAAACATAAAATATGAACATTTCATTATTAGATACTTAAAAGCACTGACAGCGACATTCAAATGAAAAGAACAAATAATGCAAACCAAGGAAGCAGACATCGAAAAGAAAGATATAAAGAAAAACATTATCTTCTTCAATATAACAACTATTCCCCTCCATGATTTCTACACCGCTCCATACAAATTTTCCACTGGTCAAAGCAGGCTGTAAATAATTTTTGAACACATATCCATGGTCTGCGTTGCCGCTTTATCTGTCACAGCTATACAGTATCAAATCTACTTCTTTTTGTGGCGCTTAAAAAGTCACATGTGGCGATCTTATGCTTAATCAAAATCCTCTTGACAAACACTGCAGTATGACCTGGAATATTGACTAATAACAATGACTTTTTTATAACAACAAATTCAGTAATAACGCGAATATTTAACCGAAGGTTTTTTCGGATCAACTCATCTACCTTTTCAATGTTTGCGTTCGTTTTAGACTACGACGTTTTCCTGGATGTGGTACGTCTGGGATCGCTACTCGTCCCGCTTTTTCCAAAAAAAAAATTGAAATAGGTTTTTATTTATTTATCTTCTTGGGCGCTTCATAATTCTTTAGCTGAACTAAATGTGTACGACTTCTTCATCGTTCTCAAATTTGGTGCTTCTCAATTGTTCTTGCAATGGTCCAAACAAATGCAATTTGATGAATGTGTATTAGTGAGGTTTCGTGAAAAAACAGGTTTAACTTTTTTATGAAATAATAGTTCACAATAAAAGGCAACATTAATGGTTCAATGGGCTATCAAAAAACTGGTAAACTAGACACTTTCTGCATCCCAAAACATAAAGCCATAACATTTCCAGCTAAAGGAACAACTTTCACTATTTTGGGAGCAGGCGATGTCTTATTCACTTGCTTTCTAGGACAAAGCGACGAATCCAAGTGTCATCACAAATAAGCAGGTTTTTCAGATGTGCTTCGTTTTGTTCAAATTTTTTCAAGCTTCCAAATAATTCTTTATGGCTTCTACTGAGGATGTAGATTATATTTAAAAGGAATTGGGACATCCGTCCTGACCGCGACATTTTCGGATCAATTGTGGAACTGCTAATGATGTACTGCGAAACCAGAAGTTTATTAATCATTGAGCTAGAAAGTATGGAGACGCTATAAGCATATTTTTCAAACATTCAAAACGGAATCACTGGGCGTGACTAATGTAGACTCAATATGGCCATTCCGCCAGGTTCGGACTATTAGGAATTAAACCCAAACCTGCATTATTTGATTTTTTTAGGAAATTAATGTAAGTTATTGATTGTTATAAAACGGATAATTAAGGTTAGGTGTAATAATTGATTTTCAGTAATTCAACTTTTAATAAAAAGAAATAAAAAATGTTTGTTAGCAACAACTTTTATTAATAGTATAACTCTATGGTTATATCAGGGATGCTGATCAAAACTGTGGGCGATCAAATTTGCAAATATATTTTTATTTATAAATTACTTTAACATTGAAAACACTGCACATATGCTGGTCTGCACATAAAAAATTGACGCATTCCTCACAAATAACTTTTTTTAAAGGAGAATGCAATATATCCAGCAATTATGTTACAATATATTTCGCAAATCCCGATACCGTGAGGTTTGGTAAATATAATCATACTCAATATTGTTTAGCACATTATCGCAACTTTCTGATAAACCAAGAGCCTTGTAGTCTCTTGAAGATCCGTTGATTTGACCAACAGAACATTTTAAAATTCGGATCTGTTCTAGAGCAATACAATTTCCACGAGAAATGTATACTTCGACATGTACCCACTAATATTTTTTGTGAGCTACCTGAAATTGCCTCGCGGTATGGTTATTGTTGCGGCCTCCATGTGAGCGAATACAGCCAAAGAAAAACTCAAATAACAGTTTAAAACTGGGTATACATACTTTAAAACCTAACAAAATTCAGTATATCTGTCGTTGTTTAAAAGTAAAATGACCCACCTACATGTAGTTTTTAAGGCATTAATATACTTACACACATAATTTAAGAAAATTTCGATACCCTTATACTGTTTTAAACCTGGAGTAAATTTCTAGAGTTAAATATATAAAAGAGATTGTTCAACATTCTTAAAAATCTAATTGTCAAACCAGCTTTAGCAAATTCTCTCATTTTTAATTATTAATTTTTAAAAAAACTGGAACACTCTCACTCAAAGCATAATAATTAATATCTCAATTTCCCAAATATCACCCTGCGCATTGTTTACTGTGTCGTATACTTAGATGTGGAATGTTATATTTCAGATAATTCCTTCTTATGAATATCTGTTTTGCTGCTGCAACTACGTTGAGCACAAAATACTTTTGTTTAACTTTTAATCTGTACAATATTTTAGTTTGCAAACCACATAAAAAAAACGTTGTTTGAAACCACGATTAGCTGTTTGACGGACCCAATATGGCGGTGAACCCGTCTCAGACCACGTGACAGCGTCTTCCTACCTTCTACCTCCATGATATTAATAAGCCTTCACAGACAACACATCCCAAAGATATCCACAGAATATCTTTTGTGGATATCCAATATATCCACAGGATATCAGAAATATTCCGTGGATCTAATATGGATATCCAAATGTCCGTCTATATCCAGAATATAGAAGATATCCTATGGATATCCAGCAAAATATCTAATGGGTATCTTCCAGACAATACAAGAAATCCCAGAGATATCCACATAATATATTTTGTGTATATCCAATATGGATATCCAACCAAATGTCGGTCTATATCCCAGGATATAGAAGAATTCGAATATTCAGCAAAATATTTTATGGGTATCTTTAGTAGAGGTTCATAAGTAACCAATTATTATTGAATAACGTCGAAAGAAAATAGCAGACTAGCAGAGATAAAAAATATTTTCCACCCTCTGCCTTTTATTTTGCCCACTAAGGAGAAAGTCATCCTTATTAGGACTCTTCAGCAATAAATGGAAATTCTCGACTCCAGTCTCTAATGGAGTCTGATTGTGATACAAATTTCGATCGAACTCAATTACGGCGAGTTGAGCTTGAGTAGATGCGAAAGTGGTATCGCCATCTATACTTACTAAGCAAAATCAAAAATTACATCTAGTGGATATCCACGATGGTTTGCGTTCGCGCCTAGACTTTGATATATTTAGTGGAAGTCCATGGGATATTGAATACACCTTAAAAAAATTAATTTTAAATATCTGAACGGTACTATTAGCCACAATGACGAGCACAATGGCGTAATTTTTTAATAATTTGCTATATAATTACTATTATTTATGAACATTTGCATGTTTATAAATTACATCTCATGGATATAAAATAGATATCCACCATGGACTAACATTCAGTGGATATTGGGATGTCCAGTAGATATCCAAAGGTTTTGGTGTGCTGTCTGGGTTGTGAAAGTACATTTTCTCCATTTTTATAACTTCCTCAATGTTGTTATCAGGACGAATAAGCTTATCAGGACGAATAAGCTCATCAGCTCGTTTAATGTAACATCAGTGACAGATATTGAATTTTTGACACCAATCATACACTTAAGTTTTTAATATAGTAATTTCAACAGATTATCCAAGATCTCTTACTAGCTATTTCAGTTCATAAAAATTTGATTATAATTTGAAATATAATCCGACGCTACCTATAAGTAGTTTTTTATTTATATTTTGTTTATTTTCAGAACAAGAAACCTGTTGGATTAGCCAATCAACGCACCCCAACTTTTTCGGAATTTGTCGAATACCTTGTCGACTCGGTAAAAAAAGGAGAACAGCTCGATATGCACTGGGCACCAATAGTCGAATTTTGCACACCTTGTATGTTCAACTTTCGAGTAATAGCACATACAGAAACACTCCAGGAGGACCAAATGTATCTGATCAAACTGGCGAAGCTCGAACGTATTATACAACCAGAGTGGAAAAATGCTGGACGAGGCGCGACTCAGAGTCAAATTGGAAAATATTATTCCGAGTTGACGAGGTCACAAATTTTTCAACTGTACCATATTTATAGGTAAGAACATGTTTTTATAGATTGACATCTAAGCGAAAGAAAAAGGGTTTTAAAGTACTAGGTATTTGGATGATCAAAACAAACTTGTTGCGGAAGAGAACCACTCTAGGTATGGCTAACGAAGGGATAATGTGGGGAAATTTATTATTATACACAACCAATATTATTAAACAGCACCAATGGCCCCATGCCCCCCCTCCTGGAGCCGCCCTTGCAAATAGGATTATTTTATTTTTTTCTTGTTAACCATATTAAACCAGGGGTGTACAACATACGGCCCGCTAGTGTCGTTTTGGCGGCCCGACGGCTGTTGACCAGTTTGGCCCGCTTACTTCAAATTATACATTTTTTCATTTTCAGTATTTAGGCTGACTCGATCAGCAGGGTGGGCTATACATTATAAGCTGACGACCTTTGGTTGGAGTTGGTTTATAAATGAAAGGTGTCGACCTTTTTTTTTAAAGTCTGAACCCACTATTGTAGGCTCTCTTAGCGGTCCTCGTCCAGTTACAGTTTTCCAAATCTGGCCCTTTGAAAATGTGCAGGCCTGGGTTAAACCATAAATCACATCTTCAGAACAAAGAAAGTTTTTTTTTTTAAATTCGCATTAATAATTAAAATAAAAGCCAATAATAGTATATTATTTAAAGAGGAATTTATGAACTTATGAGGACGAAGATGTATAATAATGACTATAATTTGCCAGTAAATTACGACGGCTTATTTATTATTTAAATAATACGTATTTCTCCATTTCATGAAGGTGTATAAGTCTTTTCAATGCTGAAAACATATTATGGTTTACATAATGCAATTATGAATAATATATAATGCAATTATGGGTAATATATCATGAAATGATGAAACTGTATACAGGGTGGGGACTTTAACTGGCGCAAATTCGCTACAGCTTCAGGTTGAAAGATGCGGATAAAACGCAAAAACACGTCAATTGAGATTTTTTGTAAGCTTTCCGGTCATACCAAAAAATTTTTTTTCATCCCCTTTAGAGGGTGAAACTCACCCCGAACTAATTTTTTTTAAATGGGATGGTACCACTTGCGGCACCTTGTGGGAAAGGTCTTTCCAAAAGAAAATTGATTGTGCCATTTTTTTTTATTTTTTAACTGTTATGCTATTTTCTAGCGTGAAAGAAAAAAGAATAGGGGACGAAATTCAACAAAAATTAGTTGTGCATAAACTGGGCTCTAAAATTATAGTCAAGTGTGTTTTATCTTAAAAATTTACACAAAATTCAACCATCTACATGGTTAGGAATACCCAAATTATTCAAAGAAACATGAAAATGGAAGGTAATTCATGGAAAATTAAGTTTTGTTTTACATTTAAATAAAAAATAATACATATTCTACTCGCTAAGTTTCTTTTTATTTTAGCAACTGTTCAAAATGAGCACCATTTACTTCTTGACAAAGAGCAACACGGTGGTAAAATTCAGCTTCTTCTTCTCTAATTCTATCCTTTAGCTCTTCAATATTATTGAGTCTTGTGGCGTATACCTTACATTTTAAGAAGCCCCATAAATAAAAATCTAATGGAGTAAGATCAGGAGATCTAGCTGGCCATTCAATAAATCCCCTTCTTCCAATCCACCTGTTCTGGAAAAAGTCATTTAAGAACTGTCGTACATTGAGAGCGTAATGGGGTGGAGCCCCATCTTGTTGGAAGAAAATTATTTGATCAATGGTTCCATCTTCTGTCGGAAACGTTTGGATAAGTTCAGGTACCAACGTATTTTGTAAAAATTCCAAATATCTGTCGCCGGTTAAATTTTGGTCAAAGAATATGGGTCCAATAATTCTATATCCAATTATTCCAGCCCATACGTTGATTTTTTCTTGATATTGACTATGCTGCTCAACTATCCAATGTGGATTTGTTTCTGCATAGTACCTACAATTTTGACGATTTACCTAAAAATGAAGACACGAAAGTTAAAGATCTTTGATCACTAACGTTCCTAAAGCGTACAGATTTAACAATATTGTTGCGAGTTATCAATAGGTGCCTAATCAAAAAGACTCACCTCTCCAATTAAGGTAAAAGTTGATTCATCGGAAAACAATATCCAATCCGGTTTCACAATACTCCACCCTCCGATCGGGATCATCTTCCATCAACTCATGCACAGGCTTCATTTTGAAGGGTCTTTTACCAGCAGATTTCAAGATAGCCAATACAGTTTTATGGCACAAATCAAATTCCCTACTTACTCGTCTGGCAGAACTGATTGGATTTTCCTCAAATGTTAGAAGAACATTTAGTCTAGTGTCTTCGTCTACTCGTTGTGGCCTTTCTCGAGGAATTTGCCGTAAATGCCCGTGCAATCTGAAATGAGCCTTAATTTTGCCTACTGTAGCCCGGTGTAACGGAGGCAATTCTGGATATCGCGCTTGAAATAATGCCGCAACCATCATCAAAATTTCTATTTTCAAAGTTTCCGTTAAATACGCCGGCATTTTTAACGAAAATGAAGAATTCTAATTCGATAGACAATTGATTCATTGCAGCCTTACAATTAATAAAGATGCGATAATTTTTTTGTACCTATACTTACCTTCATTTTTTCCGAGTCCATTTTTTACAATAAAAAGTCCAAATTGAGATAAAGCGGTTCATACACTTTTCTAAAAACAAATTGAGAAAATACTGACCACTTAAAACTGTACCTTAGAATGGTTTTGTAAGCATCAGAAGAATTTTTTGATATGAAATAATTTTTCACGCTAGAAAATTACCATTGGGTAAAAATGAAAAAAAAATGGCACAATCCATTTTCTTTTGGAAAGACTTTTCCAACAAGGTGCCACAAGTGGTATCATCCCATTTGAAAAACTGAAGCCGGGGTGAGTTTTACCCTGTAAAGGGGGTGATAAAATTTTTTTTGGTATGACCGGAAAGCTTACAGAAAAAACTCAATCGACGTGTTTTTGCGTTTTATCTGCATTTTTCAACCTGAAGCTGTAGCGAATTTGCGCCAGTTAAAGTCCCCACCCTGTATAACAACTATGTTGGAATGGGTTAGTAATGTATTTCATAATAATAATGTAAAATACATATAAGTAAATATTCAAATTATAAATGTCTAATATTTTATATGTGCCTTTAAAATATCGGTTTTGTCAAAAACTCCTGTTGATGAAACCCTTAGATATTGCAAAATAAACTAATTTGTGCATACAATACCTATAAAAATAATGGGTCATAATGCGGCTCTGCCATCTGACCTACTTGTGTGGTGAAAATATCATTTTCCCTTTTATCATTTTTAAAACTCATTAAATAAATGAAAATGATTATGTGATGTACTAGTTTTTACATAATTAATTCATATATGTATTGCAGGTATGACTTCGAACTGTTCAATTACACATTACATGGATATCTGGAATATGGAAAGCCAGATAATGATCCTTCCTCTTTACTGGATGCTATAAATATGAAAGAATTTCTACCAAATGATTTACCAAAAGTATATTGAGAAGATGATTAAATTGAGAAGAAAGCAATTAAAGAAAGATTCTAAATATCCGTCTTCACGACTTTTATCAAATTTATTAAAATTGTGATATTGTTTATAGGTTGCAATGCCTTTTTAGATTAAATATGGAAATTTTAACCTACTGAAACTGGTTTTTTATTGTCCTTTTAGGCCTTTTTACAGTGGCGACTCGTCGACTAGTTTACGGGAGGGCTACTTTTGTACTTTTGAAAGGCACATAAGATATATAAATTATTTCAAAACATACCAAAGCACTTTAGATGATCCGATATTCCTTTTGCTATTGTTTTTCCCTTGAAAATCGTCTTGTATATGAACATTTATCTGCCTGAATAAGTTTTAATTTTGGAGTATGCCTTGCCAAAGATTTAATACGGCATTTTGGCACTATTATTCGCCATATTTTTATACTACATAAAATAGGGTATTCCCAAAGTAACATTTGGTGCTTCCCCATATCGAAAATCGGTAAATTGGCAACGCTGGCTATGATAATGTCTAGACTGGAGTGTAGGTCGAAGGCGAAAATTTTCGTAGCCATGTTTCATGTAAAAATTCGTATCATCCAATCTGACTACCCAAACACCTGAATTAAAGGCTACACTACTTTTAGCCCTTCCTTGTTTGCAGCCATCCAACAACATCAGTGAATAGGTTACGGGTAACATAAAATATATGAATACCAGGGACGGCTTGCCATATTATGATTGGAACAACCAAAACAAGAGGAGCTGTATGAAAGTTATAAATAGATGTATATAATTTTTATTTTAAATATGCTGCATCTTTTTTACACAACATTGAAACGATTTGATTTTAGTTGATGCATCAATGTATTTTAATTGATATAATCCAAGCGATTCGCGTTCTGTGTCATACGAAAAATCTAAAAGTCCTTTGATAGATATGAATACAGATATATCTGTGATTTGGAAATACATAGAGGTACAATTTACTAATTTAATATATGAGTCCTATTGGTTCTATCGGAATGATTAGTTTCCGAAGCAAAACAAACTTTCAATGAACAACGAAACAAATTGAAAGGAAAGAAATTAAATAAATTTTTATTTTTACAATTCTTAAGTCCTAAATAATGGGGCCAGTAAATCTTTCGATATAGTAATTGGTGTTGTATTCTTTTGTTTGTTACTTATTTATACCTTTATACCTTTAATAGTTTTGAGTTTCAAATGTCATATTTCTGATGCATAGAAAGATCGATGTGTCTAAAAGTATTGATGCCACATAATGAAGCATTATATCGGCAAAAATCGTCGATGTATTTTTTCAGTGAACATTCGGGTCGATTCTGTTTGCAATAGCAATATGGAGCTAATTTTAAAAGATTGCAAGATTTACAGAATTATCATATTCTTCTTCGTCGATTTTCAATAATATGATCTATCATTTATAAATAATATCTTATGGTTCAAGCTTGCTATCTTAGCAAGCTCCTTCTTTGTACTTGTTAGCTGGACAACAAGGTGGTTAAGATTTAGAAATGGCTGGTCCATTTTTTTAAACGCCTATGAAATATAGCGAACAGGTACATATTTTAGTGAAGCTAACTTCTCTTTTGTAAATAATTAATATTTACTTGTTTTACTTTTAGGGAAATCAGATAACTAAATTTCCGAAATATCAGGGATTCAATTACATTTAATTAGGACTATGAATGGGCCTTGAAGCCTCCTCCACCTCAACCTTATTGTGGATATCTTTTGATCATTATTTAAAGCACTGTGTCTAGTTTGCTATTTTCTAGTAGACTCCATAAACTAGGAAGTAGATTTCCTGTGTACCTAGTTCACCTATTTGCACTTATTATTTAAACAGAATATAAATTTAAATTACCATATTGTTATAACTTAATAATGGCAGTTTATCAATATGGTTACTGTAGCAAGTTCCATAGCAAGGTTAAACAGAATAGACCGGATTGTAACTAGCTGTGAGAGATATCTCAACTATTGAGAACTATTCCAATAATTTTTCTTTGTTAGAGGCAATTAAAATTAACCCATTTTGAAAATTATGAATAAGATTGTAATATAGGTAGAATACCTGCTTAGTCATGACATTACAAAAATCAAATTCAAAATATGTATATAAAAGAGTACTTAGTCTTTTATAACTTTGTACAACCTAGTTTCTTGTAACTTATTCCTTTTGCCTTTATCCATCCTTTATGTTAACACCTCAGTTCTATTCTAGGACTCTAAGAGTTCAAAGAACAAGTCTTATTTTGTCACAATTTTGTGGATTTTTCCTATAACTAACTTACTTTATCATCATTCAGGCCACATGCAAACCTTCCATATTCAGGGCCCCTAAGGCTTCTAATGTTATCTATTAAGATTTTTATATACTTACGTATTATGCTTATTTTGAAGTTCATAACAAATGACATATTTTTTATTGAAACATTTTTTCCATTTAAAGGAAACTGAAAAGGCAGATTTATATTTAGTGAGAATCTCAGCTTGATGTACTTTTACATGATCTCTTCTGTTATTAATGTTTTGCTGAATCGCTGCATTATTTATCTGCATTTCTAGGAGTTTGTGCTCTAAAAAATCTTTGAGTCTATCTCCAAAATCCAAATCGTCCAGATCTAGATCCATGTCCATCTAAAATAAATACAATATATTTAAATGGGATATATAAAAATTTACTAACACAAGAATTATACAAAAAATTACTTGCCTTTCAAATGCATTAAACGATAACTAGGAAAATATTAAAATTATAAATGTATTTTATTTGTTATTGTAGAGAAAATAAATAACAACGTCAACATAACCTCATACCTCAATCTTTAAATTTATTGTCAAAATATTCAACACTAACAATAGGCAACCAGTATTACAAATATTTGTATTGTGGAATGGGTCGATCGCATATCGAGCTCTAAGGCAAAGAGTATTCCAAGGACTCCATATCTGCGTCCACTCACAGTGCTGCTGTTATGCAAAAAAAAGTTATAATGTTAGAAAACGACAAAATATTGCTTATTAAAGGGAATATTTCTCAATTAAAGAGAACTAGTGTTCGCCCAGTGGTCGAGATTCGACCATAATCATTATTGAAGTAAAATATTCTGTGACGAGGAGGATGAAACTTCCATTCACATTTTGACTGAATGTGTATCCAGAAAGCTAGAAGCATATCAAATAGAAGAGGGAGATTTACCTAACTTGAAGCCACTCCAAATAATACACTTCCTTGAGAAGATAGGATTGGAAGGGTCGTTATATAGACATCGTGATATTTCCTTGCTGCATTAGTGACACAAGGGGACACATAACATAACAAATCTCTCCATAATTACGCAGTATCAGAAAACATTGACAACCGAACTCAGACAGATGTTATTTATACGGGTATGATAAAGGCATTTGATCAGCTTGACCGCCTCTTTTGGACTTTCAAACAATCTTATTCGGCTTCTTATATATCATATCTCACCAACACAATACGTTGAATTAAATGGATTTAAGTCTGATCAGTATTCTCTGCCACCTCTGGTGTTCCTCAGGGATCTAATCTAGGCCCGTTGCTGTTTAATATTTTCGTGAATGACATCGTGGATGTAGTTGATATTGATTCTTTAATTTACGCCGATGACTTTAAGTTTTACATAACAATTAATAATGTCGCGGATTGTGGAAGGCTATCTGAAAATCTTCTGAGAGTTATTGAATGGTGTCAATTACCGTATAGGCAACACTCTATTATGCAGATCAAATAACTCTGTGGATTTGGGCGTTACTTTTGATTCAGCACTATCCTTCAATGACCACATTGACGGTATATTAACTGCAGCAAGCCGCATGTACGGATTCATAATTCGGAACTGTTGGGATTTAAAAAATGCAAGTACGTTAAAGGTTAAAGTATCTTTATTATGCGTTTATCCGCTCAAAACTTGAATATGCTTCGGTTATGTGGAGTCCCAGTTACCAGGTACATGTTACCAGGTTAGAGGCTCTTCAAATACGGTTTCTCAAATATTTAAGTTTCCAAGAAGACCAAGTGTATCCTCCAATTGGCACCCCACATAACTAACTGTTAGTAAGACATAGTTTTTCGAGTCTTGAAGCAAGACGCAAGTATTTTTGAGTAGTTACACTGCACAAAGTCATAACCAACAAAATAAATTGTAAAGAACTGATGCATATGTTAAATTTTAGGATTCTCCGCCATACTTCTAGTTGCAATGATACTTTTTACTTGACCACTCCTCGCACCAACATTTTAAGCAAATCTCCATTATATGTCATGTGTAGTAATTGCAACAGCATTAACTCTGAATTGGATATATTTAACTTTAGAATTTTGGACATAAAACATTTTTTGCTTTTGTGATTATTTTATCGTTTTAAATAGTTTCTTTCTTAAATCTTTATTCTTTTGTTTTGTAATTTTTTACATTGTATTTTTCTGAGATATTTGTTTTGTCATATTTGTCCTGTTCTTTAATTAGGAATTTCCTGTAGAACAGTTTGTAAAATAAATAAATAACAGGATTAATACACGGTGTGTCCAAGGAAAGACATGTAAAAATATTTATTTTAAATAAAAAAAAAGTAATTCTTCATAATATCTTTTGCTTGTTAAATAAATACGATTCACGTTGAGAAACTTTGATTTTGTTGTATAGGGTGTGCAATAAAAAATACAATTGTAGATTTGCAAAATTACAATTTATTTTAATATAATTTTTTTAAGCGCTCCAATGAAAATCTTGTAAGGAGAAGAAATCGAAAAGCCAAATTAAGTTTTTTTATTAAAGCGCTTCAAAAAAAATTTACCTAAAACTTATCGCTTCTCGGCCTCTGGCTAAGATCAAAGTGTAGTATCTTAATAAAACTTTTAAATTTTGCAAATTCTTAATTGTTGTATTTTTTTCGCAACCTGTATAACAAAATCGAAGTTTTTCAACGTGAACTGTATTTAACAAGCGAAAAAAATAATGTAGAATTACTTTTTTAAATTTAAAATAAACAAGTATAGTTAAGTCCATTCATATACTATATTATAGTAACAATAAACAATTTAGCAATATATCACTACCTATTTTAAAATAGGTTCCCAAAATGATTTAAACTATATTTGCGAAGTCCTTTGTATCTCCGCTCTAATACTACTCAAGCAGTGCAAGTTTTATGTATTTGTCAAATACTACAATAATTGCTCAAAATGATGATCACCAACTTCAATGCAAAGTTTTATATCCTAAACAGATTGGTTTTGATACTCTATTTCCAAATTGTCAGTCGTTATTTGGACTTTTTGTCTTCTGCTTCTTAGTACTCTTTTTAATCTTTTACGTGCCCTGTATATTTTAACACTTATTCATTAACACCTTTATATTATCTAACAGCAAGTACAAAAATGATAGACCTGCTGTGTACCTGTCAATTATCAGTAAAATAATAAAAAAATAATTAAATTTACCCTACCAATTTCTTTGACAAGTTTATTGACCTTTTCTATTAGAAAACGTTTGTTTCCTTGACACCGTCAAGGTTTGAATAGGTACCATCAAAAATCATGAGATAAAATAAAAACATGTCTGAAGTTTAGTGACCCAGGCACCGGCTTAAAATTAGGTTAACTTTGAATGCTTACTTAGTACTTTCTCCTTTAAGGTCATGGTACTCAAGTTTCTTCCTCTTTCCAACAACTCATAAAATAGAACTTACCGATATACAGATTAGAACAGGGACGTATGGGTTATTAAATAAGGAAAATTATATTTTTCTCTACTAATGGATCAACGTTTTTTATTCTTCTAAAAGGGTCAAAAATAGGATTAGTAAATAAGAAGAAGGAACTCTGCTCTCAAGCCGTCAAGGACATAACTGAAGTTTTTCCATTTGTGGTGAAACATCAACACACAGTAGAATCAAAAATAGAACATATTATGATGTCTAAAAACAATAAATATTTAAGGTATTCTCATCTAATTATGTTTTACCCATCCATACTAGACATTAAATAGATTCAATTACTGTACCAACAACAGCAGCAACAATTGGCCAGAAATGCTTTACCTATTTGTGAACTAAATTACACAAAGAACTTTCCTCTGATATTAAGAGAATTAAATCAACTCATGTTATGTTATTTTGGGAATGGGGTGTTAATACACTGCGACCTAAAAGATCTATTGTATCCTCTTCTCTCGCTAATTCAGCAAGGAAATGTCTAGATGCCTATAACGACCCTTCCAATCCTATCTTCTCAAGGAAGTATAGGATTTGAAGTGGCTTCAAGTTAGGTAAATCTCTTTCTTCTATTTGATATGCTCCTATAGGTATAGTGCCCTTGAATTCTGGAGTGCTACACATTCAGTAAGAATGTGAATGGGGGTTTCGTCTCAGTTTACTAAGATGTCGTTTGAGTCGGCAATGCCCGGTAAGGATCTTTTTTATAATGCGTAGCCTGTGCTCAGGCAGATACAGGCTTCCAATCTCTTCTGGTTATATTCACCCAGAATTATCTTAACCTGTCTTAGCCCCAAGAGATTTTTCCAATTATCATTTCTTCTACTGCCTAATTCATTTTTAATCTCTCCTAATATTGTTTTACTGCTGATACCGCTGAACGGCTCAGGTCCCGTTATGTCCCGGGACCCAAGTGAAAATAACTGTATTTTCCTCGCCTAGCTCATTCAGTTTTTCTAGGCATCTCCAAACCATTTTTGAGCTGATTAGGTAAGTAAAAGCTCAGCGCATTGATGGCTGCTTGGCTATCGAACATGATGATAATCTTTTGTCTACGATAGTTTCTTTTAATGTTAAACTAGATAACCTTCTTAATGGCGTGAATAGCCGCCTGGAAGATGCTTGGGTATTTTCCCAAACTTTCATAGTGTCTGGTTCTAGGCCCATACACTCCTATTCCAGTTCGTTCTATGATTCTGGAACGATCCTTATACCACTGAATAGCATGTCTTTCGGTTGCAAGCGCGATGGATTCGTGATTCCATTTTTTCTTGCAGCCCAGCTTCGTGGTTTTGAAGTTATTCACTTGTTTTTTATTTCATCCTGGGGCATATCCCAAGTTTCTTCGGACCTCTCTTAATGTACATTGAAAACATAACTCACGCAGACGAAAATATGGGCTTAGTAGTATGCATAAATTAATTTATCATATACACCGATGGTGTGAGAGATATTTGAAGATTTGAGAACGAGCCTGAACGTCGTCTGGCCCGAACTAGTACATCAAACTTCTGTCTAGTCATAGTAGTGGATGGTGTAGTGGAAGGGCACTCGTCTAGCAAAGAAGGATCCTCGGATGCGACTTTATTCAAATCTCCAAATATTTGTTTTCACCTTTGGGGTTCGGATATGCGCTTAATAATTCGTAGGGAGATTCTTAAGATTTGTTACCGAATTTTCAAATTATTCAACTACTTATTTCAGATATTTCTAAACTTTCGGATTTTGATTTGTGATCTACGATATATAAAATTCACAATTTTCAATTCTGTAACAAGTTGTAAATCTTTACAGAGGAAATGTATTATGATTATTTTTTAAATTAATGTTTGTAGTTACGGTCCTGTTTTATCTTAGAAAAATGTAACACCTACTAACCGAAAAGGTTTTTGGAGTTTATTGAACTTTTTAAGAAATAAATAGAAATATTAAACATATATTTTGTCTAGTAACATCACTATTATAGGTCCAAATAATAAATTTAATGATGGCAAAAGAGGGTTAATTATTTTATTTAGCTTATATTGTCGAAAAAATAGAACAAACATTTCTTATTAGAAATATTTCAAAAAATT